TGTACAGCTGCGTTTACTGTACTGCCACTATGATGGCTTAAAACACTGTATTGCCACTATGATGGCATAAAACTTGATTCACATAGGTATATTCAAATAAACTTTATGGAGTGGACTGTATATATAATTAAAAAAGTAAATCTTTGACAAAGTCGTGAGACATGTTGCCTCAACAGGCCTTCGTACACATCTGGCTTTTTTAAAATTTCACATTTATTTTTTAAAAATTTATGCATATCCTCCATTGAAGGTAACTCTTGGTTATATTGAAATGATTCCCAGTCTCGTCTGGTTATTTCATCAAATTTCATAGTCATTAAATATATAATTAGCCTATCCCACGAGTTTACACTCTCGCCTCTATAGAGTGCTCTTCGTTAAGCCGGCGCCACACGGCATGGTCAGAGGTGCTTTCGTTTTGGCAAAAATAGTACTTAATAGCAACTAATATCAGTTCTGAGTAACTCTAAGTTGCTATTAGCTGCTGATAGCTACTATTCTTGCCAAATCGAAAGACCCTCTGGCTGGGCTAATGTGTAGTTGTTCTTGACGTAGAACAACTCGCCATTATTCCATGGTTAGAAATTGGCCTCAATGATTTGGGAACGAGGGGGATTATCCGTCTTTATACTGCCTCATTTCGTGTAGGCCCTGGACAGCCTTCGTAGGTGGGTCCCATCTACCCCGACCGCAAATGCGGCCGGTGTAGGCGCTTTGTGAAACCTCCTTTTGTCCTGGCTGGGCCCCGCCGGCTAGGGCCCTTTCGTCTGGCGCTTGTCTTGCTTCGCCGGCTCGTCTGTGTAAAACCTGGGGATGGTGTCATGTTTATGTAAACGTAGAACAACTAGATTTTATTAATTTTTAAATTATTGAATTTCTTTAATTTTATGGGTTATTATTCAAATAAAATAGTAGTACTATACATTGACGTGTTCGTAATTTTATCCTCTATCTGTCACTGTTAAAATCCAATATGTCTCCCATAAGAAAAAACCCAATTAAATGTTGCATAACTGAAACTAGTGACCGTAGAAATTTTCTTTCGACGAAAATATATTGCTCGTATCTTCTTATCCCCCACTACCAAATTTTAGCTCTCTTTATGTTGTAAAATACAGACGCTAGGCAGCATTTTCTAAAATCACTATTTTCAATTTTTTCACAATATTTCATGAACGGCACCAGATATCTCTGATCTGTTTGGTTTATTTTAGTGACCCTGAAAAGGCGCAACTTTTTTTTTATTTAACCACCCTGTATATCTTATGGTTTCCCAGATGCCATTGGTGAGCCACGAAAAATGGACCACATTGTATGACAGGTCTGATTTGACTTGATTTGCCAAGAATTTATTCCTCATTCCTCTACTTTTCAGTTACTATATTCAGCTTTTGATAGGTCTAAATTAGGCCTACTCCTGCATTGTGTGGTCATCCATACTGTAATATTTACATAACTAATATTGAAAGAGTTCAGAAACGTTTCTTAAAAGTTGCAACTTTTAGAGAGCATGGAAATTATCCTCCGATTGGTAGCCCTCAATGTGATCTTTTAAATAGATTTTTATTTCGCAGTTTAGAGGAACGTAGAACGAATGCATAATTTATATTTTTAAATAAGTTATTACATAATGCAATTGGCTGTCCTTCTTTACTTTCATTGTTAAATTTTCATACCCTAGATTATCATCTCGTTTTTCTTCATTGTTTTATATATCTGTGTGATGAATTAATATTCAAAAATACTAAACTCTGTCAAATGTGTGATAAATATAATTTGTTGCAAAATCAGTTTGATCTATTTTTAATAAAAAGTTAAAAACTTACATTTGCAAATTAAATTATATTTGTTTCACATTTATCTACTGTTTTGTTTAATTTGATTAGGTATGCAGTGTTTTGTATTGTTACTGTTTAATTTATTTAGGTATCTCATATTATGTAGTATATATGATGTAGTTTTCTGTTTGTACCTACCCTATAATTGGAATTTGTGTAGGGTACCTAGTGCATTGTCTAAATAAAAATAAATAAATGAAAATAAAAAATTCTGCAGTTTTATTACAGATTTTGCAGATGATTTATGTATTTGGCGTAATTAACATATTTACTTAGTTCTGTTTCTAGAACCTTTAATTTCTCATTCTCCCATAATTAAGCTATTTTTTACAGAAGATGTCCAACTACTTAGATTATATTGAACGTACAACAATACTTACTGTTTCTAGCATGGACTGTCTCCTCTTCTGTTTTCAACGTCCCAGGTATGATTACCTATTTATTGTAGGTTTCATAAATGTTTACAAGCCACGTGACTGTCCAGCTTAGGCAACCCAACATTGCACTACTGGTACTAGTAACGAAAAATCCCTAAATCTTGGCGTTAGCAATATTAATGATTCGTTTATAATGAACATCAGTAACAAACCGTTACGCCTTCGCCCGAGATAATGCAATCGCTGATTGGTTCAACAAAATCTCTTGAAAAATTATACCAATCAAACCAGTGAAACAGAATGTTGTGTTTTAATGTAATCTTGATTTTAGTTTTAATATTTTTTAATTAAAAAAATATTGAATTGCCAACATGAAGGAAATAAAATTACTGTTACAAACAAAATTACTGGTCACGTGGCTTGTATTCATTTATGAAGGTTCTGTATATCTAATTGTTGAGAGAAATTACCATTGTGCAGATCCCATTCTAACCTTATACGTGTCTATGCCAACTATGTCACAATATCTAGAATCATTATATCACTCCTATGACTATTAAAAAATTAAAGGAAGTCTAAATAAAGCTAAATAAAAAATATGTATATTCACAATTACATTAAATAAAGAAGTGAATTTTTGTTTTTAATTTGCAAAAGATTACTATTATATTCAGTACCTATCCCACTAAACATTTTTCAGTTTCTGACATGTTTCAGAAACGTTTTCATTTTTCTTGAAACGTTTCATAAAAAATCCATGCAACGTTCCGGTAACGTTCTAGAAGCCCAAGATGTCCTCCCCAAAATACGTTTCCAATGAAACGTTTCAAAAAATTAGTTTCAGTAACATTCTTTTTATGTTCCATTTATGCCCTCGATATTTTTGTTTTACGTTTCAGTATATTTTCAGAAATGTTTGAGTAACATAATAATTTTATTACCATATTGTTCTCATAATGCTCTCAAGTTTAGATCATTTTCATTTCAAAAGCATTTTTGAAATAGTATAAATAGTGTGAGTATTTTTTTAAATATCTCTAATTCATTGTGAATGACTTAATTCGAACTAAAAAAAGTTACATTGTATATTAAAAAAAAATAAAATATGCTCTTCTAGTTAGGGGATGCGGCAACTTTTACTAGGAATTTCTTTTTTTTTAAGAAGCCACTGAAAAAATTTTTAATATGGATTATGAATTTTGCCATTCATCGTACAAATAAAAATATCACAAAACAATATCAGAAGCATTAAAAAAAAGCTACACATTTTATATAGTTCAAATACGCTTCTGAAATGGAAATTTTCTAATGTTGAGACCTTCATGAATATGGTAACAATGACGAACTGATAATTAGAAAAAGTTAGTTATGATTATGAATCTTAAAATGGTAGATACATGAAAAACAAATAACATTACTGAAAAATAATATAAAGTTATAATTTCTTCTACGCATGGTCAATATTACATATATCCTTTTAATAATAATAAATTATACAGCAGAAATAGGGATACAAAATGATATCGTGACAAAGTAAATATCTGTAGGTATACCTAAACTCTTTTATTTAAGCATGCCTATACACATAAACAAATATAAACATTTGTACAAAATATAAAATAAATGACGTCTATTTCACTTGATTTATCCATATTTCAAATAGTTCTCACTGACTAAGTAGTTGCTCTTCAAATTATATCGAAACGTATAGTTGTTGTTCCATTTTCTTAGTTCTTGTCCCTTGTCCTCTTGTCTGTAATAGTAGTGGGTATAACTATATTTAGGTAGATGTGACGCAAAATTGGAAATCTCTTTACACATATCGTTTTAAACATTTTGCATCAATATTCATTATTTTATATGCACCTTACAATAACCACAACTGCACACACTACAAATTATCACATAAAATAGAGTCAAAGTAAAGATGAAGAACAACCAAACCAAGCAAACTGGCAACGCAAACCTAACCTAACATAATACGAATTGAAACGACACACGGGAAACAAATAAACTCGGGCTGTTACGCGCAGTTTACGCAAGTCACGAACATACACTTTTTCTAGACTTGTGTTATAAATATGCTACCACATTTTTTTTTCTAATTATGTCTATATAACAAAGGCAAATGAACTAACGCTTGAGAAGGATTGCGGATTGAGAGCAAAATTCAACTAATGTCGAATGTTCCATAAGATGAGCAAAAATAGCAAAGGGTTGTTCGTCTGTTATGTTTCCGAAATCGAAAGGGAATGTTTCGAGTAATGTTTCAAACTCTCTTCAATTGTAACGTTTCGGCTATGTTTCACTAAATAAGTTTTCAAGTGCTACATTTCTGTAACGAAACAGAAACGGTTCCACTTAATGTTTCAAATGTTTAGTAAAACATCTCATTTGCAACGTTTCATTTACGTTTCGTGTTTAGTGCGATTATTCCTATTTTTTTTTTTGGAAATGGCATTAAGCGAAAAATAAAATTTATTATAATGCATTAACAATAGTTAGATAAAATCCACACAGATTACGGTCCTGTCCACGATCGAGGGAACATAATAAATAATGTGTAAGAGGTTATTAACTATTATTAGAGCTGTGATTACTAGAGATGGCAGACGGTGATATATTACAGCCTGGCATCAATATTAAGCCAAGCATAAGTTTGGATGAAATCAAACCTTTAGTTTATGATCTGTATGGATTTAAAGTACTGAAGATTTCCGAACTCACCGGGTACGACGATAAAAATTATCACGTTGTTTTAGGAAATAGTGACAAAAAAAATCCGCACGTCAATAAGTTGAACGATGAGGGATATGTAGTAAAAATAATAAATTCTTTGGATTCTAAAAAGACAGAGTTCTTTGATGCTCAAAATGCTGTATTACTTCATTTGGGTGAGTATCCTAAAAATATTAAATATTTTGTAGTGGAAAACAGTAAGTTTTTAAGAAATAATTTAATACCTACTGAAGTACCAATCGTATTGTTGTAAAACTGCAATAACAATAAGCATTTGACTTAATTTTTTTCTTATCAATTAATTCAGTGTCTTATAATCCTTAATCAAATATTTCTATAGTAGTTACTTTTATAATTTTTCAAAAGATGTTATTTCATGTCCTATTACGGTTATAAATAGAGCTGTCATAATTGGCCGCGCACCAAAGGCGTGAACAATGGTCATAAGATTTATGTCAATGTATATTTGTGAAGCACGTAAATTGTTTTACGCATCGTTGCCATCGGTTCCACAATCTGGATGGGATCCGTTATAGATCGCGGCGGTGATAAAATATCTTAATCTGAAGTGAACGACGCGACGGTTCGACATCTAGAAATGTAATATTTCCATAATTTTAAATAATCTACTTCCAAGCTGGTCCGACATGGTAATTTTCACTAGGTGGAAGAACGTTTTTTTGAGGTGAACAAGTATACATTTGATTTACAGGAAAAATTTATCTGTCTTTTTATTATACTATTTTTTATTTCGAAGAATAATTGAAACTTTACGAGACAGCCACGCCGTATGAACTGTACATTATCTAATCAGACAATCCCTTTATTATAAAATAAACAATATATTTTTATTCTGGTATTTTATCTAGTCGAATTATGTTAAAATAGTCTACATGAATATTTGGAGATTTATTTAAAATTATAAGTCAAATTGGTTAAAAAATAATTACGAAACCCATAGTAAAAGTTGACTTGAATTTAAACATATTACATATACTTATAAATAAATTGTATTTTAGTAAACAGATGTGAAAAATACAGGAGTAATATTTAAATGACGGCTTTGACAAATCTCCCCTGTATATAAGTAACAAAATCTAAACACTTAACTTATTTATTCTAATCATAAAAGTCTTATAATAACATTTACAGAATCGACATCAATTTGTGCATGTCTATCGACGCAAATATCAGGTGAGCTTCAGGGATCTATTTTGGGACCAATTTTATTCGCAATGTTTACTAACGACATAATATCGAATTTAAATGAAATGTAGTGTCTTTTATATGTTGACGACCTAGAACTGTTTACCGAAATTAAATTCTTTAGAAGCAAGAAACGAAATAGATCTCTGATTACATTACAGATAGATTCCTTTGTTCAATTAAACAAATTAAAATACTACGTCATTTATATAATACTTTACCCGCCTTACCCACTTTCCATTCTGTCTAGGAATAAATGGCAAAGACGAAAGTTTTAGGAAATTTTCTTGTGAGTTCAAAGCCCTTACAATAAAAAAAGTACATACAAAACAAATGAATGTTGCGTTTCTGAGATATAAAGCAAACTTGTATTTTTTAAAAATGGAACACCATGCGTATTTGCCGTTTTTTTCAAATCCCTTGTTTTTCTTATCATAACAATGTATACCTACATGCCATATATTTGCATCAACAGTTTTGGTTTATTTGCTGACCTTCGACAATGGATGAAGTCAATATTGTCACGGAATCAGTGTGTGGTATGCCCATCGCTGTTAAATTTACTAAATAAACCTGCACAATATTGGAAATGTGTATTAATATAAAAGATGTTCCATCATTCAGTTCCAGATATAAAACTTTATGTTATTCACTTCATTAATCATAATCATATTAACTGAGTTCACATTTTTTATCGGTCATTCTTTGTTTACTATCTATTCCAGTGTTCTATACAGAAAATATTACATAGGGGTCAAATCAAAACTTCTTGCGGACGATAAAATTTCCCCTTTAGATTTGATGAGATGTTTAGAATAATGTTATTATCAAACACTTTTTAGTATTTTCTTTTCACAGGAAATACAATAATAGAAAATACCGATTTTTTCCTTAATACTTTAATAGCTTAGTTCTATTAAGACGAATTCATTGTTACATTATTAGAATTGTCACATTATACTCGTATAACAAATACATAACATGTATATATCCTGTTCTAAACTTTATTCTAACTCTTATAACAGAGAAATTTTATGGTGCGCAAGAAGTCCCGATTCGTCCCCATTTGGATCCTCCTATGGGGGATTCAGAAAGATAAAGTCAACAAAGAACAACATAATAACTTATATGACCTGAGAAAGAAAATGTTGAACGCAGTTAACATTATCAGTGAGTGGATAACAGAGGGCATTATGTCTTTTGTCCGGAACAGAATGATGAAACACTTTTTATAACAAAATGTTTTTACAAGAACTTAAAGTTAGTATAATAAACTAAACAGCCGAAGAGTACACACGCAAAGCCATTTTACTTCCATTAAAAAAAGGTTGATTCATATACGTAACATTCAATTGTTTTTTATGTACCTACTTCTTTGACATCGGAAGAAAAATACTAAGACTTTGATATCTACCATTTTCTTCTTCTGAATAATTTTTAGTTTTTCGAAATTTAATTGCCAACGTGAAGCAAATAAAATTAATGTTTCAAACAAAATTACTGGTCACCTGACTTGTAAGTATTTATGAAGATTATGTATGTTATATTGTGAGAAGAATTAGACGATCATCTAAATAGAAAAACAAGATTTTCAATAGTAATCGGGTATGCAGTAAAGTCACTGTATAAAAAGTCTTTTTATTACTCGAGTTTTCGGGATTTAATTTTCCCCTTTTCAGGAGAAACTACAAAAAATATTATACAGGGTGTTCCACCTAAGAGGGAATTTTCTGTAACTCTTATAAAAAAATAGTTTTAATAAAATATGCCTGGAATAATAATGTGGGCCAAGCAAAGAAAATATTCTTAGCTTTACAGGATGTTCCATTTCGCGTGAAATAACATTGTTATTTTAAATGGAACACCCTGTATATTATTGCATTTTTTTAAATTTTTGGTTAATATTATGTAGAGTTTATTAAATGTACATGGTGTTTAAAACTTACCGTTTTCGAGATATTCAGTTGTTTTTGAAAAAAATCACGATTTCAGCTCTCTAAATGAGGCTAGATAGCGTCTAAATCGTAAGAGTTAGAAACCTGCAGTTTTCACAGTTCGTTTTGTTATAAATTACTCTATCTTGTCATCTGTGAGCAAAACGTGTACATTCAGACCCGGAAATACCGAGTTGAAAAACTTTTTTTTTTTAATGGAATTACCCATATTAATTGTCATGGGTGAATGCAAAATTGAATGCCCTTTCGACTGATATAAGGTTGTCCATATTTTAACAGTTTTCCAGAAAAATCAGATTCTTTTCTAAAGTCCGAAAAAATAGCTATGTAACAGCGTCAAGAAAACCTTGCAAAACCACTTTTTTCTCACATTTTATTAGGCCTAGGACTGACAGAGTCAATATTTAGAGGCATTTTAAAAAGTGGTTCGACAAACAAAAGTAAACCACTAACACAAACTAAAACAAAACGCAAAACGAAACAAACTAAAACTCAGAATACAAGAAGGATAAGAATACTTAGACGGCTGATGTACATTAATTGCTCGAAGAGTCCATTTTGATTAATACATAAACGAATTTGGTTTTTAAAAGACTTTCTATACATGGCCCATATGATTCCCGACAACTTTTATTAAAACCATTTTTTATAAACCCCTTTTAGGTGGAACACCCTGTATGTCTAGGTAACAATAAAATTGGTATAAACATTTTTCCAAAAAACCCAGTCATATTAAAAACATTTTTGTAAAAGCATTGCCAACTATAAAGGTATAATATATTAATTAAAACTTTTGGTAATTATTATATCTTTATAGTTATTTCACAAAAGTGTTTATATTATGACTGTTTTTTTGCAAAAAATCGTATAGTTATCTAGGTACTATTTTTAATTATTATCCTGTTCCATGAGTCTTCTTTTATTTTTAGGAAAAACAGATATACTTTGCTGTAAACCAATACCGACTACAGAAGGCTCCTATTTTACAAAAACAAAATTAAAAAGTGGCGAACATATCGTTAGGTTGCTGGAGTTTATCAGTGGGTCTATTTTAGCAAAAGTAACATGTACACCGAAATTATTTTTTCAAATTGGAAAGTGGGTTGGTACACTAGATAAAGCATTGCAAGTGAGTACTAACTGACTTAATACTGTCATATTATTTCAATAACGTTTATTGATACAAGGACATATCGATAAAATATATTTACTCTGATTAACATTAACTAAAATTTTAGTGAATTTAGAATATCAATGACACACTCATAAATATTCATAAAGTATTGTCTAGTACTGGGACCCCTACTACAACGTACTTTCTGTAATACACTATGCATTTCAGTAAAGAAATTAAAGTTTAAGGTTCTTAGTTGATAATTTTTATATCAGTTAATACATAAATCATTTCTAATTAAGAAACTAAATTCTGCGGTAATATTTCCAGTGCCATATCGGTTTGATTAAAACACCTTGCAGTTTCTATACTCAATATCCCTAATTATGTCTTTTAGAGTTTTCATCATGCTGGTTACGACTCCCACAAATCTTTATGGATGCTGAATGCAGTTCCCCAGCTGCGCCAATTCATTTTTGCAGTCAAAGACGAATCCAGGAAGAAAATTGTGCTAGAAGTAATAAATGAATTTGAGTCTCGAGTATTGCCGTTACTGCATCTTCTTGAAAAGGGTCTGATCCATGGTGACGTCAATGAACATAATATTCTCGTCGAGAAGACAGACGGAAAGTGGAATGTTAAAACGATCATAGATTTCGGTGACAGTCACCTGGGGTATTGTCTTTTCGAATTGGCTATAACTATGACTTACATGATCGTGCATTCGAAAGATGTAAACGCCGGAGGATACATTTTAGCTGGTTATTCGAGGGTGCGAAAAGTGCCAAAAACTGAGTTCAATTTGTTGAAGGTATGTTGGATACAGGAATATTTTTTGTTTTATATTCTACTGACTACTTCCCGATAGATGGTGTTCCATTTAAACATCCTCGGTGCACTATATTTGTCTTAAATTCTTAGCACAAATGAAAGTTCTCGTCATAGATATTGACATAAAGTATAAATTCGTGACGATTTTGATTTCCATTGCAACAGTGCCTTGGAAATCAGTTATTTATCATATGTCGGAGTTGTTGTTTATAAGCTACGCGAACGTCATCCTATTGTAGTAGTAGTTATATTTTTGAGTTTTTTTTTCGTAAATTAAAGTTCAATTATGGATCAAAATATTTTCTCTGGAACGGTCCTGTAATGTACGATGAGTTATGTGCTGTAGACCAGCTGCGTAATCAAATCGTCGTTGAAAGATAGAAAGATACTTCTCAATTTTTGGGAAATTTTTCAAGGCAAAAGTACAAACTTCATTAAAATAATGGAACAAAATTAAATAAAACTTACAATTTCAAGAGAAAAAGTTGAAATTGATCCCCATTAGCGCGGATACAGGCATTTCACCGACGCACCCAGTCTACTTGATTGGCACATTGCCGTAAAAACCATCTGCAAAAACGCATTAATTGATCACAATCCGGGGGTAATATCTGTTGAACTGGTTGCAGATGCCGGGTGCAACAGCTGGCGCCTTAAGATGTGATGTACGTTTCGAGATGAGGTTCCTACTTGCTGTGCGAGTCGTCGAGTACTAACTGTGGGGTCTTCCTCAAGATTTTCCAACACTGCATCTACAACATTAAAGTTCACTTGCTGACTACGTCCTTCTCCTCAAGGAATAAAACTTCCCGTATCTCGCAGCCGCTGAACGCACTGTAGGATTGTATTTGCACATGAGGGGGTGACGTTGTGGCCATCGTTCCCGGTACAACCTAGTGGCGGCGCGAGCGCATTTTCTCCGGCTGCATCGTACACTAACACCATATAGACACGTTCGGAAATAGTAAATTCATTGTTTTCTATTACAAATATCATCAGGACGCTGTAGTTTAATTTTTACAGATTATACACGCCACGCCATGTATTTATATGACAATATAATATACTGTCAAATCGATGGTTTAATGAACCAGTTTTCAAATTTGTTAATTTGTACAGGGATTATGTAAATTATCTGCAAAAGAAATGGAAAATCCTGTAGAAAAAAAACCAGTCCTTCCGACATACTCTCTATTGCTTAAGAGCAATCGAGGAGATAAGGTATTGGATGCTACTAGAACCAGTTGTACCGTTTACTCATAGAACGCCATTGACAGGAGTGCAAATCACTTTAACGCCTGTTCAAGTTCAAAAAGACCATCTGGCTAATAGACATTATTGGAACGTTTTAACTCACGATATACAACTTCAATCAACCTGGGAATTGGTCAGTATGATGAACTATGACCAGTTGACCAGGTAACTTACGCGTTATCTGCATTAAGTTGTGTGTATGGGTGCCACATGCTCTGAATGAGGATAACAAAAATTAGCGTGTCAACATTTATGCCTATTTGCTGGCTCGTTGTCGTTTACCTCGTCAACAACATTAACAGTTTTTGTCCCAGTTTGTTACTGATCCCACTATATACGACAAAGAAACCGTCATCTACTATGAATAGCCTACGAGGCATCACTGACGAGGTTTGTTCCTGAAACTCCATATTTTTGAAAAAAGAGAAGACTGGTAAAACAACATTAAGTGATTTAGAATTATAATAATGCCCATCATAATGCTGTTACAAAAATCGGCTATTCAGGAGCTGAGTTGAGGCGTTGATTTATATTTATCTTCAGATTATACCGCACTTAAAATTGTCTTACTGAATTCTTCATTTCCAATCACCAAAAACCTACCAGATCGTTGAGAGGCAATTGTAGGCAATGGAACATTGAACAATTAGTGTATCTTATTTAAAAAAAAGATAAATAATTTTTAAATTGAGTTAAAATACTCCTAACTTATGAGGCAACACAATAGATAGCGTATCAAACAAAAAAAAATCTATAACGTGGACATTGGTCCACATGAAAAACCATACAAACACAATAAATCGCAGGTTTGCTACACATTTTAATATGAAAACATTTCTTACCGTAGACTTTGTACATTTCTTGATATTAATTTACTGTTAAAAACGACACTTGATATTTTTATCTTATAATATTAGCATCAATGTACTTATTTTATATTTTTTTTTAGATCTGTGTCCTAGCTAGATTATGTCAGTCACTGGTTCTAGGAGCTTATTCTAGTCTGCAGAATCCAGATAATTCATACGTATTGAAAACCTCAATTAATGGATGGATAATGTTGGAGGCAATGTGGAAAGAGCCAGACTCCGAATTGTTACAACGATGGAAGACAATTTCTGAAAATATGGAATAGATTTTTTTTTACAAAATAGAGAAACTTTATTTTATACAATTTTAATATTAATACATTGAGATCAAATTTGCTTAATAAAATGAAAATTCGAAATGTGATGTGGCAAGTTTTTATAGAGCAGTATATTATAATATAAATGCGTTTTATACTAAAGATATTTTATTGTATAAAATTAAATGAAACAGATAAATAGAATACCTACGTGTTACCACTTTGGAAAAAAAGTAAATAAATATGTTTATAGTTACAAGCAAATATTTTCAAATATCCATAAAATTTTGTGATTTATTCTATCTATTTCCCGTATTGAACTATTTTTCTTTTAAAATAATGCCTTTATGCCATATAAACAGCTAAGGTATTATACATATTATAATACATATACCTACATTCGAAGTTGTTGAAATTGCCTAAAATTGAAATTGGTCATTCCTTGTGTTTGTGTGGGTGTATTTGTACTAAGAATAATTAATTAAATTATGGCAATTCTTTCAAATACTATTTCTTATATTTTCATATTAGTGGGTTGAAACGAAGTCATATCATAAAGTATGGAAATATTATTAACTGTAGGATCAACACTAGCAATGCGATCCTGGAGCTTACAGACCTTTTAACTGAAAGAAAATTGTTTAAAAGAAACAGTCACTTTTGACACCATTCTAGATAAAATTATTTTTAGATAATATTAAGGGGCTTGTCTGAGAAAATATTTTTATTGTGGCATATATCTTTCAGATATTTTACAGAATATTTTTCTATTTTCCCACATTTACTCGCACTCATCCGGTATTTTTCGAAAATCGTCAATGAGGCACTGCCACGAATCTATCATTTGTTGGAGATAGCTTATAGTGGAATCGATCTTCCTATTCTTTTCAGAATACTTTTCTATTTCCACTGACTCTTCCTTACATATCGCTAAGCACATGTCATACAAGTGCTTCCTTTTCTCCATTTCCTTTTCAATGGTGATGAGTTTGTTTTCCAAATTTTTTTGTTCTTCGAAGTTTTCGGCAATTTCATTGTCCATATTTACGAAAAGTTTTTGAGTTTTGTTAGAGAAATGGTCGAGCAGGTCTTTGTCTGTTAGATTTTCTCCCCTGGCAGCTAACGGGAAACTTTCATAGTCGAAGTCTCCCATGCCGGATCTAACTATAGGCTTTTCCTCTTCTTTTTGATCCAACTTCTCTTTAAACCCTTCAGTGTTACGCTTCTGATCATAAATAAAGGGTTTAATGTAGTCGGCCATAACTAAATTTAAATATTTCATTTAGAAATGTATTAAAGAACAGCGAAATTTAGATTACTTTCTTCTGTCACAGTGACAATTTACGATGTCAGATTCTAGCTGTCCAGATTTATATCTGTATAGTTTGTAAGGTCTATGACATTTATGCAGAGATGTGCTTTCGTTTGGACCATAGACTTTATAAACTACTGGACTCACCCAACTGTCATTTTGCCACAGACGTGTGGAAGAGAGATAGAGCCAGTGCGGGCTAATGCTTCATTCACAGAACTTCGACCGTAGCGTGCTACAATTAATTCAACCAATCAACCCTTACCCCTTTTCTGTTGGGCCGTATTCCTGTTTGAAGTTAAAATAATTTTAACTACATTTATGTGTGGTGGCTACACTAAAAGTTAAAAATTTTGAAAAATTATTGATTATTAGGTTTTTAATTATATTTAAATGAATGGCAGAACGAATAGCCGACGATTTTCTGATCAACAAAGACATTATAAAAATAAAGAATAGAAGACAAAAAACCCCATTAAAAATGTATAGAATATTAATTCTATGAGTAAAACTACAATTATAGTATTAAGAATTCTTTATCTTAACTTAAACTGAATTAGATTCGATTTCTCTTCTTTTAACAATACATATTTGTACCAGTAATTTTAATTATTATAAGTGAATAAGAGCATAAGCGCTATTTGTTTATTATTAATTTCTGTACAAATTGGATATATTAACAGGGGAATGTATAGAAATTTAAAGTCAAAGATATTTCATTATAATATGTACATATTTAAAAAATATTCATACTTACAATTTTCCAAAAAGTTTTTATAATGCCTTCTTTATGTATATATTTATTTTCCTCATATCGTAAGGTCGATGAGTTAAAATTACTGCAAGCTCTTATGAAGTAGTTGTTTTAAATAGTTCATATTATTATCTTGCTTTGCAAGCTATATCGATGCTTTATTTTTCAACATATTATTTAAAGAGAAGTTTTGCTGAAGCATATTATAAGCATAATTCAGTTGAAACTGTTTATTAATTTGATGTTAAAAAATAATTTGAAGCGTGACACTTTTAAGGGGGCAAAATTTTGATGTTAAATATGAGAATGGGGGAAAAATATAATCAAAAATATGTTCTCATCAGAGACAACTCTACTTGGTCATTATTTTCAGAAAGGTGGTACCATCATAACCTCTTTTCAACCTATGAAATTTTATTTTTCTCCACTTAAACGTCTCGTTACGCAAATGAGCGCTGAACACGATTGCACCATATTTAGTTTTCACAAATATATCACATACGTTAAATCACACAAAAAAATTTAAGAAGTCTTTTACATGACTTTTACTCTAAGGTTTGTTTACGGTATTTTGTACCGGTATACCCGTGTACCATTATTTGTATTACCGGTATTTGCCTGCACTAGCTTCATCTACCTTGTACACATCAGCGCGATTGACCTCTCTTCTAGGGCCAGTCCACTAGGTCTATGGCACAACACGTCTCTTTCCCCTTGCCCACGACCTTCGTCTCGGTAATATGGCGCCATCATCTATGCTTTACAAAACTAACGCGTTTCTAACGAAATGGTTTTACTCCCAGCTGAATGAAATCAAAATCAATTCAGTAACTTTCATGGGCGTGCGAAAAGTTTTGATAAGGTTAGTAAATCTCTACAAACACATACGGGTACAAAAATTCTGATCATCTAACGCAACTACGTATCAGTGTTTAAATAAAATTAAATTTAAAGGTCTTTATTAACTTTAATTAATACTGCATGAAATTTTGAGTTATTTTAATGCTGATAAATTATTTGTGAACTGATGGAGAACGTATCGGCAAAAATCTAATAAACAACATGTAAATTATTGATTCTAAGTTGTGTTAAAAATATTTGGTAGTAATGGTTAGTTATTTAAAAAAGGGTAAAGTGTAATATTGGTACTTCGTATTATATTAGCCATTCTTTCTTGAATTTCTTTACATAAAAATTAACCTATCATAATATTGGGAAATGTAATTATTTAGTGTAATAACTCTTGTTTAGATATAATTAACGTAGTCGGCTGGTTGTTTTTTTTCTGTGGACGTAAACTTAAGGCGGGTATCCATTTGCGTCAAATGCCCCGTAACGTAACACCGAACATGTTACGTTACAGCTAGTGGAGACGGAAAATTGTTGCATGGTACGTGTAACAAATTTGACACGCGTAACTAATCCGGGACGAACCATCAGTTGTCGGTTTTTAGTCGTCACATCAAAGGGATGCAACAGTACTTTCTGCCTCATGTTGAGACGAGAGTTACGGCCCTTTTGGCCGTAACGTTGCCTATTGCACATGTGATTTTGTCTTATTTTTTGTTTCGTCAGTGTTTTGTATATGGTCTGTGGTCAATCTGTTTTCTGCAGTGACTAGAAAGAGTGTGTTTTTCTGTGTTTATGCCATGGAGTGGAGGAAAGAAAAGATTTACTCAGATTTCATTTTCCTATTCTTCAAAACTGTATGATGAATAAAAATATATGACGCTGCTGAACTGCAATTGCAGTGATGAATCCATTATTGCAATCAGATTCATAATGCGAGTTTATGTTCCTGTCTCTTCTCGTAACCTTTTGTTACGTTACGGAATGAATGATACCACCAAAACCACGCATGTTCGTTGTTACGTTACGGAGCATTGCCACAAGTGGATACCCGCCTTTAGATGTTTTCGATGCAGCTTTATAGGGTTAGGTAATGCTAAAACCATCACTCAAAATCGTTAAAGACCGCTCCTTGTGAGTTTTTGTAAATTAGAGACCTGCTAATGATACTTTAAACAACAATATTATTAATATTTGTAACATGATCAAGAAAGATATTATTAAGAAAACTTAAAAATAAATTGACATCTGGAATTGATAGCTTTAGCTTTATAATTAAGAACTGCTCAATTGCATTTATTGAAGCATTACTTATTTTGTTTAAACTTTGTTTATAACCTATAACATACGAATAATGTGCAAACGGTTTCTTTCTGAAAAGCACTGTCGCCGATACAGGTAATTGCAGGGGTACAATCGAAAGAAAATATGTTAAAAGTCAAAATTTGTTACATTTCTAAACGGTTTTATAAACCCTAAGCATACTACAAAAAAGGTATACTTCCGAAATTTGGTAGCATGTGCCATTTTCGAGAAAAATTAAGTTGAATAGAAACAAATGGGAGATAATTTCAGCATCTACTAAAGTATTTCGAAATTTGCTCATTTATTTAATTGTGCAGCTATTTTGTTCTGTCTGTCTCCGAGTTTGTTTCCTAATATTTTTCTATTATCACTTTTTAAGCATTCATGTCCATCAACAATTCAGTCCATTCTATAACTATTTTAGTAGTGGTCGTGTAGTAATTTACAAAATCTGAAATTAGTTATTAAAAGATAATTAATTACTATAATTTGTTTATTTTGATTTACTTTTTTAAATGTTATATTACAACAAGCTTAAACTTAAAATAAATTTAAATTTTTTTATTTCTATATGTAAATAATTTTTTTACAATTTAACTGTTTTATGTAATACGTAAGAAATTAAAATTATATTCTTAGATGCAAAGACTATTGGTAGCTAAATGTCTTCAGCTCATTCAATTGTAACATCCTATTTCAATTTAATATTCTGTTAATGTACTTGTGCCGTTTTATGTGAGCAAAAAAATACAACTTCATTTACAACTGCTTTTCAGAAAGAAACCGTTTGCATATTATTTTTAACGCACAGTTCATGTAAAATTTTAGACTTTTTTATCTTTAGCCGATTTAAAGTTAATTGAGGAAAACCATTTGGGAACTAACAACTTCAACACACTGTATCTTGGAAACAAGGCGGCTAAGGAAAAAACGTACCATTATTTTCCCAAGAGGAACTTGCATACAAGTTTTTTGAAACACGAACGGGACACCCTGTATACCTAATTACAGAGCAATATCAGTTCTTGTACAATAATATCTACTACATACTTTCGTGGTTAAATAATGTACCACGGATTGGAATTTATTAAAGTATTAACAATAATTTGATAACCAACCTTTTGTAAAAAAAAATACGCCAAGGAATTTTCTCCCGAGCTTGCTTGTACTGCATCATGTTCTACACCTTAGACCTTATAAACTAGACCTTTCCAAGTTTGTTTTTCATTAAAAAAAAGTGGAGCTGTTGGACAACACAGGTAAGAGTGATATGGATTTATAATTCATGCAAGCCTCAAACATCTCGCTTGTTTGGAATGGCTTATTTCACTCACTTGTCACATATAAATTATTATTATTCGTTTTCCTATATAAAGTAAGTATTCAGTAAATAAAACAACACTTTATTATTAACTTCTTTTCTTGTATTTATTAAAACAATGAAAATTTTAACAAAATTACAAACAGGTTAGAATTAAAAATTTACACATCTTGTAATCATATTGAGAAAATTTAACGAAATAATTTACTAACCTAAATTCGCTACGTCTTTACAACTGAGGAACATTCAACATTTCTTAAAAAATTAACACTCTATTATATAGATTTTAGGGAATGCAGGTAATATTGGAAAACAACACTAGCATATACTTTTTTATATTCTCAGTAGTAAGTAAAATAATAATCCTGCTAGTATTATTTTGTTCGACACCAGTTTATATAGGTAATTATGTATTTTATAACACAAGCTGTATACTTTTAGGCAGTAAATAACAATATTGGATTATATTTAATTTCTAAATCATTCGCTTTATACAATTTACATATTTTATATGTTCAATTTTTACATAATACAAGCATCTATTAGGAAATAATTTCACTAACAACAAACAGTATATTGTATAATTCTGTCCGTTCTGGGACGAGATAAATGTACAGAATGTCTCAAAAAGTTCTATATTCTCCCATAACAAAATGCCGGAGAAAAAATTATCTTTAGCACATGTAGTGATTCTGTATATAGCTTTAAAATGGCTTTAAAATGGAAACTTTTTTCGACATCCTGTATATTAAATAACTATATAAAATTGAAAAATATATTGCTTTCAACAGCTAGCCTTGCAACCCCGGACAGGCAATATGGAATTTTTGGGGTAAGACCTATGTTAGTTAATTATAAAACAGATGTATTTATATTTTTTAAATATAATTTATGTCTATATTTTAGGGCAATTACCTATAGGTTTACACTTTTTGCTGCAACAATAAAAATTTCTTCCAGATGAAGGTTATATTGAAATAAAAAAAAATCTCGTTAATATAGGTAAGAGAATCCAGAAAAAGTATCCTGTAAGAGTTTAGTGTCAGTTCTGTTCATTAATATTGTAAAATTTATATATTCTAACATCACATGGTCAGTGATTGGAAGTACGTAAAGTTATAATTTTTTACTCTTATTCGTTATATAAAACCTACCCTTTAAAATAATATACACATATAAAAAATTAATCGTATTTTCAATACAAAAAATATATTATCCTCTGGAATATTATAATAATAAATAGTTAAAACTTAGAATAGGTTTGGTTCGTTTGTGTTAAATAAATAATTAAGTTGTTTTCTTAAAATCCACTTAAAATATATTTGTTTATTTACAAATTCCTTAATTAAAAAAAGTGGTTAATGAAATAATCTGATTTGTTCTTTATCTTTGATTTATTCAAATTTAAAATAATCTGTATGATTTTATAGATCTATTGGTTGTCTTTTATGCTATGTGCATCTATAAATAATTTTCTTTGTGTGTATTTTCATTTCAAATTACTGAGTTCTGTTACTTAAATACTGAAGAACAGATAATCTGATAAAAAAATAGTTTGTAGGAGAGACAATATTTGTTTCAAATAAACAGTACCTAGTAGCAAAAAAATATTTGGAAACACTCATAAAACTTAAATATTTTAATAATTTTTAGAAGAGTTCTACCATGTGTCCTATTTCAACACGTGACACGTGAATATTTCGGCAGTGAAGCTTCCGATCCAAAAATGACCTAAATGAAAGTTGTTCAGTTAATTTTGGGAAACCTGTTGCTGACCTTGAATGTCAATTGAAGGTTAACTTCATAATTTTTAATAGGACTCTCTATTTTTTATCCTTCGACAGAAAATTTTACATATGGATGTTATCTCAACTTTGACCTTACGGTCACAGCTAGTTTAAATGATTCATCACCCCTGAATCAATCTCGGAATAAGATGTTTGCCTCCAGAGTCGATAGGATTTTTATCAAATTACTGAATCATGACTTCAATCTTCAAGGTCACTTGAAGGTCGACCACGGAATTTGATCTCAATGACCTCTACAAATGTTGTTAAGGATGTTAGTGACCGCAGATCGGTGATCTTGTATTTAATCTCATTGACTCTTGGGGCAAACATCTTATTCAGAGGTATGGATATAAAATTTTCTGCCGAATCCATTTCCAAGGTAAAAATAGAGGGCCTCACTTGAAGTTATGAAATTGACCTTCAAGGTAACGGTTGAGGTAAAATTCAACCGCTTTCCTCCAATGGACTGAACAACGAGATGTTCACGTGTGTCGATTGAAATAGAACACATGTATATGTAAGGGGCACGTGAATGTAACAAGACAACATTCAAAAATAACTTATTGTTACGAGAAAAGCTAATATTCTATTTGATATTGACATGATTAACTAAGAAGAAACTTAAGATGTGTAAACAACATTCTAGTAACAATGTGTAATGCCCCTAGATTTTTATTTTAGTTGTAATGTTTGCTTAATGTAATATCTAAGCACAAAACTCAATATTTTGAGAACTTTTTTTACCCAAGTTAAAATAAACTAATTAAAAAAGTTAAAGGGTCAAAAGAATTTCTGAAATTTTTCCGTGAATTTTGACAGACTGTATTTAGGTGAAAAATGGTCGTATCGGGAATTAAAAAAAAGCATTTTGAAGCCCTAAGATTCTAGTTTTTAGATTTTTCGATCCAAATATTTTAGGAGCTACGGTTATCATGCAATTCTAAGAAATTTTGCAATTTTCCACGGTCTTGGAGAGACTTTTTTCGGCTAAGCCATTGCATGGACCATATAGCTTGTTTATTCAGCTTCAATTTCCTCTTTTTTTTTTTTAATTTCGATACAACCATTTTTCATTGAAATATCGCACTTTTAATGGAAAAGGATCCTTTTGTCTTCAATCATCGATATCTCGGCAACAAATGGTCGTACAGAGAATTGAATAAATTTCCTATAACATGCTGCTGCAACTTTTCGAATATATATATATTTTTCATCTTTTATACGAATTTAGAAAAACAGGAAAAAAGGGTACCTAATTTATGTTTTTTTTTTTGAAAATTGACGGCTAAATTAGAAATATTCACGAAATGACTAATGTTAAGCACGACTTTTACAGTTCGATATACCCAGAAGAACCCTTTAAAGTTTCATGTCGATCTAGCGAACTGTTTCTTTGTTTCAAACAGTCAAACTTTTGAAAAAAAAATTAAAGGGTCACGTTTTTTGAGCTTAAACACTTCATAATCATAATCATGATTAAAATGGAAAAAATTTTTTTTTTTGAGGTTTTCTCACATTTTTACCGCAAGTAACGTTTAAATTGGTAAAAAAAATTCGAAAATTTTTTTCAGAGAAGAAAAAGGGTAGTTTTGAAAAAAACTGTTTTTTAAGTAATTATAGACTGCACAAAAATTAATTAGAAATTTATCTCAAAAAACGGTATGAATCGGTGTCGAAATCTGGTTTGGGTCATCAACTTTAATTTTAATTTAATTAAAAGTTGATGAACAGAAGCATAGGTCGCAAATGCCGAATCGTGCTGGAAACAATTGGATTTTGTTTTCTTCAATGTCCGGAAAGTTTTCCAAAAAAAACAAAAAAAATGTCGAAAATTTTTCGAATTTATTTTTTTTCATTAATTTAAACATTATTTACGGTAAAAATGTGAGAAAACCTCAAATTTTTTTTTCCCTTTTTATCATGATTATGGAGTGTTTAAGATAAAAAAATGTGATCCTTTAATTTTTTTCAAAAGTTTGACTGCTTGAAACAAAGAAACGGTTCGCTAGATCGAGATGAAACTTCACAGGGTTCCTCTGGGTATATCGAACTGCAAAAGTCATTCCCAACATTGGACATTTCGAGAATATTTCTAATTTAGTCGTCAGTTTTCTAAAAAACCATAAATTTCTCTTTTTTTCCTGTTTTTTAAAATTCGTGTAGAACATGAAAAAAAATTTTTTTCCAAAAAGTTGCGGCAGCATGTCATAGGAAATTTATTCCAGTTTTCGAAACTGCCCTTCAATTTTCTGTACGACCATTTGTCACCGAGATATCGATGATTGAAGACGAAAGGATCTTTTTCCATTAAAATTCCGATATTTCGATGAATGGTCGTATCGAAATTAAATAAAAGGAAATTGAAGCTGAATAAACAAACTATCTGGTCCATGCAATGGCTTAGCTGAAAAATTTTTTTCCAAGTCCGTGGACTCAGAAAAAGAATATAAAAATTTTCAAAATTTTTTTGTCGCGCTATTTCTTAAAAAATTTCAATCGATCTAAAAACTAGAATCTTAGAGCTTCAAAATGCTTTTTTTAATTCCCGATAAGATCAATTTTCACCTAAATACAGTCTGTCAAAAATCGCGGAAAAATTTCGGAAATTCTTTTGACCCTTTAATTTTTTGCATTAGCGTATTGTTAGCCTTTACATATCGTATGTAACATATTGGATTCGATTAATTTAAAAAACGGATCTGGTAACTCTCTAACTATTTATTTATATACTTAAACAATATTATATTTTCTGGTACTATTTCTATTATTGACTTTTACAACTTATCGGACTTATAATAATTAAACACTTTGGAATATCTTTATTACCTACTAATTTTACCCCATATTCAAGGTTTTACATACATATATGCAATTCTGGAATGTCGTGGGCAATTAAAATTAAAAGTCTCAACATTTATATTAAAACAAGGGAACATAAATTCAGTCTTGAAGTATCGCTTCTCCATAAGAGTAATATCATTATTCAAATGTTAAATTCATAACAGTAGTGACATTTTGCTACTTTTTTTTACTATATTCAAACAAAATTGCTTATCATCTCTTTTCCACGTAACTGGAGGAAGATATTTCTGCTTCTTTTTGGCTTCTTTTTGAAGCATGTTTTATTGTAGTAAATTAAAAATGTATGGGGAAATTTGTTCGCTGAATATTTTGCGTACTTCCAGTTAAATGAATCGTTTTTCGTAAGTTCTTGCAAAAACACAGATCATGATGAAATTTTTTGGCAGTGAGCAAATCCAGCGTTCTCCCAACAAGCCATTCAACATTTCAAGCTGATACTTTTTCTTATGAAGGAGAGAAATGCAATAACATAGACCAGCTAGGCCAGATCATCAAATGGCTGTAAATCTACCGCTATTGCTACGTGCAGCTTTCTTATAATACAATAAAGACGATTTGTGGCTGATATAAGTCAATTATCAGTTTCTTTGAACACACTTTTCTCACACACCGCACCGACAACAACTTCTAACGATTGTTTATGTTATGGCAGACCGGGCGAATTATTATTTTACCCCTTGCAGGTTTGGCAGCACTGTTCCTGATACCTCATTATCTTGCACATATTCATGGCTTTCACGTTTGGACAGAACATCGAGTGGTCCATGCATATTGGATCTGTGAACATAAATCATGTAAGTTCTAAATGGTGAAGTTTAGTTTCACTTGTTTCTGTTTATACAGCGCTCAATTAATTATTCGACGGTAAATGCAATCTAACTTCCAATGCAGGTTCGAAACTACATACATTAATAAATAAATCTTCAATGGATTGCGGATCATATATTTTGTTAGTGGAAAATATATTGACGTCATTTGAAATAATAAAAAATAGAACCACTAATAACTAGCCGAAGTTTGTATTTTAAAAAGAAAATACTTAATATTAAAAATATTGAATACTAATCAAGTATCTTTAGAAATTGAAGTTTATTTTTCAGAATAGGGCTACATAATAAGTGTGATAACAGACCCTTTTAGTGTGACGTTACAAATTTAGGCAACCCACAACAAATTGTCATAGTTGAAACTGTACAGATCGAATCTGACCCTTGTTTACTATTTACATAGATACTATAAAAATGTGTAACTTCAAATTATTTTTACAAGTATTTAGAAGTATTTAAGAATAACCAACACGTGTTTGGTAAAATAGATACACTAATGTGCTTAAAACTTATAAAAAACGATATAAAAGAATATTATATACGCAGGTGAGATCACGTTGATATGTTATCGCTGTCATCATTAGCGTATTTTCTCTTCTTTTGTTTAATCTGCTTTAAGCATTTTTTAGTTATTTTGATTGTTTTCCTTGGTGTCGTGCTGTGTCAGTGTGATTATCGAATGTTTTTTTTCTTCAAATGGTTTATTATAGACGTTCCAATACCAAATTTTTCTTGAATGATATCCTGTTGCGAGGCTACTTCACTTACATGAAATTGTCTTTAATGCGCATGCTCAGTAATATTGATATAATTTTAATTTATCAATTACTATATTATGTCAATATTTTTCTATAAATTTAAATATATAAATTCTATAATTCTTTTAGTTTGTCATTTGGAATTTGAAACTTCTTAAATATTTCTAATATTGCCAGAATATTGCGATACTTAAGGCCATGACAAAGAAGACATTTTTTTGGCACTTATGTCCAAAGTACATAAGGTTGAAAATCGATCTAGTAAAAATATTGGAATATCCTTCATGATAATGTGCACAATGAAGTTGCCTACTATTTAGCGTATGTGACGTCACTACTAAAAAGGTTTATTAGGTTTTTAACGCACGAAATTGGAGATTGCAAAACAACTTGCACGCAAATTTTGCAATCAATCGAGTGCGATAAAAACCTAGTTGCCACAAGTATTATTTACAATACTTTACTTACAATCGTGCATTTTTTATATTTGTTTGATGTTTAACAGTGACCCTTTAAAATATTATGCCTCTGTAGTCTTTTGAAAATTTGAAATGGTTTGTAATTTTATATTCGATGAAAACTATCTCTTTGTCAATAACAATAATAAAATCGTCCTAATTTGTCATTCCTTTGCTAGACGTTATAAGTATATTTTTCATTGCTACAATAACATAAACAATAAGGCGTGGTTAAAATTGCCATATATAATTTTTTATTATTGAACGAATTTGAAGGAAGGAGAGATATCACAAAAGTGAAAAAAGCAACAGAGATGTACCTGTATTGTCGGAAAAGTCTAGGGTAAGATATAAAAAGGAATATGTTTCACGCAAACAAGCATTAACACTATAATCGCTTATTTCGCTAACAATTTCAAAACCAAAATATCTTCTATTCCTTGGTACTACTGACCTATTGTGAAAACCACTTCAGCTGTGAAAAAGAATGTAAAAGTCCTAGTTTAATAGCATTTCTTAGGAAGAAATCAGTTGAAAAGAGGGTTAAGAAATCCAACACATTTAGTAGAGAGGCGGGTAGATTCTGTATAGAAGTATGACGATATTTTGACGATTAAGGTAGGATTTGTTCTAACGAGTGTCCCAAATTAACACAAGAAGTAATTTTAATAGAAAGCACGGGTTTTTAATTAAAAATTGAAAATTTTTTATTGATTCATAAAGTATATAGGATTACGCATGGAATAGCATATCGGGTAAATGGCCTACACTCTTTTATCGGAAATTTCCAAGACCATTTTGCATAAATGCGGCAGAATTCCGTTGATACAGCATTCAATTTCCTTCTTCAAGGCGTGGGTGGTCGTGGCTGTATGGCGTGTGGCACTGTCCTGTTACTATATATTAAACTACTCGTGGTCTGCATCCATATCCTGCAGTGTAGGGACAAAAAACTGGATTATCATGTCGCGATAGTGAGCACCATTAACTGTGATTGCCTGACCAGCCGCATTTTCGAAAAAAAAAACGGTCCGATGATGCCACCAGTCCAAATTCCGCACCAAACCGTGACACGTCGTGGATGGATTTGTTTCTCAACAATCACTCGTGGATCTTCTGAACCCCAGTTGTGACAATTTTGTCAATTAACGAAACCATCAAGAGAAAATAAGCCTCATCACTGAAGATGATTTTGTTGGAAAAATCAGCATTGACATGTTCCATAATCCATTCAACGAACTCTCTTCGCCCTACGTGGTCAGTAGGCTTCAGTTCTTAAGTGAATTGAACTTTGTAAGCATGAGAATATGCTGTAGAGCTTCTTGAAATATCCAAAATTCTTCACCACAATGCCGTATTGATGTTCCTGGACTCAGCAACACTCTCATAAATTGTTTTGATGTTTTGTGTTGAACGACTTGTGGAAGGACAACCAAAGGGTTTTCACTAATACTGTCTCTCTCAATTTTTCAATTAATAAGTTCAAACTTAGCGTGAATTTTGGGACACATTGGCAAAAGAATCTAAAATCCCAGTGGAAAAATACCAAGCCAGGCAGTTTCATATCTGAAATTACCAGGTCCTAAAACCTATACAAGGTACTGCTTTAGGTGACAGTACGCAGCAGTATTGGCAGACACCGAAGATTTCATGCATGACTTTGAAACTCCACGGTGGATGGAAGTCGTCCGCTATAGCAGAGGAATATTTGGCCGATTCGATAAAAAAAGATTTGAATGGTGAAGAAAATCCGTGTGGTTGAAAAAAAATAAAAATTTTAAAATAGACCCAAACACAATTTTATAGTTTAAATATATTTGTGTTAGTAAAGATTAAAAAACATGGAAAAGAGATATAGGTACAATAATAAAACCTGAAAAGTTATGTTTCGTTCAAGTTTTTGCAAAAATAATCGGAAAAAAATTGTTTTTGAATTTTTCAATCTTTATATCTAAATTAAGAAAAATTAGAGAGGTATTGTGGCCCTTATTGAAGATTTAAATATTTACTGACCAATAGTTTTTATTTTTACAACTTCATTATAGGCCAACAAATAGAGCGAAAAAAGAGACTGTTTTTACACTTAAATATTACAGAAAATTTCATGTATTTCCTTTTGAAAAATACTTAGTAAATGAAAACCCAAGTGATTTCCCCAGCAAGTCGTGACAATTTTTTCTTAAACAATAAAAACTGCAAAAAATTACATTTTTTGTTTTTTTTTTAATATCTCGAAAAGGTATAATTGAATACTCTTACTCTCAACAGAACTTTTGTATAGAATAAAAAACCTATAAAACGTTTTTTTGTACGACCCGATCGGTTCATTTTTTACAGATAAAATCCGGAAAAACCTCTAAAATAGACCTTTTTTCAAAAATTGGCAACTCCGTCAAATTTGAAGTTGGAAGAACAATCTTGTGGGAAATGACAGATATGTACTTTAATCGTGCGCAAGATGGTTTCTGCCCGATGCATGGTTTTTGCACAATTGCATTATAAACAAATTAGGGTCTTTTTTTGCACAACATGGCGATTTATCAAAAATGGTCCGATTTAAATTCTCAAAACGCCATCTGAAAGTAAACGACAAAATCTCCAATTTGTACATTTTCGCCTGGTGATGGCAAATATGCTAAAAATGCCCTTGAAAGACGCCCGAAACGATCGAGGCAGATTCCTCCGCTCGCGCACGATTAAACTACATATTATTATCTGTCATTTTCCACAAGACTGTTTTTTCCAGCTTTAAATTTGATGGAGTTATGAATTTTTGATGAAAGGTCTATTTTAGAGATTTTTCCGGATTTTCTCTGTAAAAAATTAACCGATCGGGTCGCACAAAAAACCATTTTATAGGTTTTTTTAATTCTCTACAAAAGTCCTATTGAGCGTAAGACGATTGCATCATTATTTTTCGAGATATTATAAAAAAACAAAAAATTTATTTTTTTTTGCAGTTTTATTGTTTAAAAAAAATTGTTCACGACATTGCTGTGAAAATCACTTGGGTTTTCATTTACTAAAAATTTTTCAAAAGGTAATACATGAAATTTGCTGTAATATTTAAGCGTGCCAAAGAATCTCTATTGGTTGGCCTATTAATTAAAAATTTCTGTATCACTTATTAGAATATGTAGTTAAAAATTATACTGGGTGTCCCAAAAGTGACGCCCGTCGTTCTAGGATTTGATTAAGGGGGCAAAAGGAAATTGAAAATCAAGAGTGAAAAATTTTCCGATTGTTTTTCTTTGTTGCGCAACTCAAAAAATATATTCAAAAAACTAAAAAAGTGAAAATCCATTTTTTTTTCTCAAAAAAAGGTCTGTGCTTATAGGATTTTTAATCTGAAGACTGACTCTTGGCATTATGGGTTGCTCTATTACTTCCATAATAACAGCCTGAATAAAAACTACTGCATTTTCAATATTTCTAAAATTTTGCTGCCAACTTTACCTTTCAAATACATCAATTACACTTAGCTGCATTATTAATAATAATACAAAGAATTATTGTTTTTTTTTTTCACAGCTTAGGAGAATGACGAGTACTATGCCAACTGAACCATGTTTGCTCTCCACTCATACATTGCTTACTTATTTTTTAATGGTTTTTGAAGAATAAAATAATAGAGATTAGTTGTATTACAAAGAAGTGATCTAGTATGCTATGGCAATCATAAATAAATTATTCAACATGATGGAGCTCCGTCACATTATGGTTTACGAGTAAGAAATTACCTGAATCAAAACTTCCCAGGCAAATGGCTTCGAAGAGGGGTGGACTCATATTATGACCTCCTAGATCACCAGATCTGAATATATTTTGTCTTTTGGTGTTATTTAAAATAAAAGGTTTACAGCGAATCTGTTGTAAATCCAGAAAATGTAGTAACCCGTATACACACTGCTGTCGCGTTAATAGACCAAGAAATGCTACAAAGGGTTCAATGTTCAATCGTGCCAATATTTGTCTTGAAGAAGAAAGAACTTATTTGAACACCTTTTGCAAAAACCATTTATATGATTTAAGCTCATTATATTTTTAGTTTATAAGTTTTTTCCTCTCCGTTTTATAAAATTGTTTTATTATTAAACTATTTTTCTCTATCCTTTTTAGGTTAAAATAATTCCTTACAAACAGGTACTATCATAGTTTCCGATAGTCGGTAACCGACTATACTTACTTACTATTGGTTATAAATTTGTCTTGGTCCCCATAGGCACAGACAGCAGTTTCGAGACAAGAATATTGGATTTTCACTTTTTTATAGTTTTTTGAAAAATTTTTTTGAATAACTCAACAAAGAAAGACAATCGGAAAATTTCCAACTCTTGATTTTCGATTTGTTTTTGTCCTCTTAATCAAATCCCAGAAGGACGGGCGTCACTTTTGGGACACCCTGTATATTACAAATATTAATATATTTTTTTAAATAACTTTAACATTCTTTTAATTTCTGGGAATGTGAAACACAATAGAAATATTTTGATTATGTACTATACTGAATGCTGAAAATCTCTTGCTGCTATTTCTAATTGCTGAATGGTAACAGTTGCTTAACCCTACAAGAAATTTTTTATTTTTAAGTTTGTCAGATTGCAAGTTGATAGCAACTTTATTTTTTCTTTAAATTAATTACAGAATTCAGTAGTGTTCAGTTCTCAGTGTTTAATTTTTTAAAAAATTTTTAAAATTCTTTACGTGAAAACAATGGTACATTTTTTACGTAATTTTGATCAATAAAAATAAATCGAAATGCGACCGAAGCAAAGGGAGATTGTCATTGTGCTCCTATTTTTTACGCACGCCTATGATTCAAACATATTATGTTTTGGGTTGAGTTTCTTTATGTAAGTACTTTTTTCAACCTTGTAAAGTTTTAATTCAGGTCTTGATTTTCGAAATATTCTAATAAAGCTAAACATTTTCTATTTGGTTCTCTTTTATTAATAGAACCCAATTGTGTATTAGTGGATGTGGTATATACTTCAGAGCTTTCTACTTCACAATAAGTGTGTCAAAAGTCAAAATTTTATTGAGAAAATCGAGAATTACCTTCATGAGTACAAGAGTGTCCTTTACAGGTCTTCATAACTGGTGGCCTTATTAGATTTTTGCACGCTGTACCTGCCAATTTTTTTGTCCCATACCAGACACACTGTAGAATTCTGTATTTCACGCCTTGCATTTCACAAGCTGCTGCACACTGTCATCAAAAATTAAGAAAACTTGGAAAACAGATAGACATTTTTCTTACAAAACTAAGGTTTAGTTTGCTCTCTCAATAATTTTAACCTTATAATATATTATTACCTTCATTATTAAAATTTGGAAACATAATATTTAATAATTGTTTAATGCTAATAATGAATTTATTAAATGAAAACTACCTCGGACCAAGGGCCAACCTTCCACTTCCCAACGCATTTTTCATTATAGCATTCTTGTCTGTCTATAGGTTTTTCATTCTCTTCACATTGAAAAGGATCTACAGTTAAATTCCCTCCAATTTCGCATTTCACCATTCGCCGCTGCATTGCTGCAAATAAATAAAATCAAATTCAAAACTTAAAAAATCTTCAATTGGTTTTTATTTTGCAATAATTATTTACCTTTATGCCAAGCAAAACACTTAGATCTCTCGCAAGGCGCCCAATTGTACACATTCCATTGGGGACAGTCATCGAAGCCGCATTTCCGTCTCGTTTTCGGAAGGTCCAATCCGGCATCGTCACACAAGTTACTGTCTACTCCTTGCGTTGCATTGTGTAGCCTAAGAAATGAAGAACACAAATATAAAACTCAAAGTTCAGTTGTAGTAGAGTATTGAGTATGAAGTACTCAGTGGGTAAGAAACACTTACCTGACTACACAGCGCATCGTCCTGAACTGATACCCATTCCCTCCGCAAGTTTGCGAGCATACAGACCATGGAGATGTTTTCCACTCAAAGACGAGATTTTCCCTGGTGCCTTTCCCGAGAATTACAATGTTACCATCTTCGTCGTCATCTGTGCTTCCGTCCTCCCCTTGTTCATCTAAACCATCTCTTGGAAATTCCTGGATTGCCCCACCATAATTGTCCTTGTCTTCTGGGAAGGCTATCATTCGGTGTCCTCGGGAGTTGCTGAACGTCTGAAAAGGCCACAATTGCTATGTCTCTTATTAATAAAGTTGTCACTCAAGTTTAAAAGATAAAATATTCCCTTTTAGGGGTATTGTACTCAGAAAATTAGTAGAACAAAAGGTCTTAACATTCCCTCTCTTATTTTTGTGTATTACTATTTCTAGAGTAAACTTAAAACAGAGATAATTGATGCTAATAAATTGGTTTGTAATGTTACATAAACAGTGCTGGAATTTTGTGATACTATCTCTGAGATACAAATTGTTCTTGTTATGCGTTGACAATTCTAAATTGTTTGCAGTCGTGACTTTATTATGAACTCGCATTTTTGTTCATTTACATATAACTGAAATTTAAAACAACAGCTAAATAAGCTGTTCCATTTTTTTCTGGGCCACATATAACGTGCTCTTTATTTCTCTTACCTTCTTTTTTAGGAAGATAAATATAGAAAAGAATGAAAAACATGTTTTATTTACGCTTAGCAATTTAAAAACAATTTTTAATACTTTAAGGTGACCAAAATTTAGAAATTACTTAGGAGATTCTCCACGATAATTCTATTAAGCATATACAAGGTGTACATTTTTCGAAACGCACTACTGTGGTTTTTGTTATCTTAAAAGATACAACATCAGTCAAAATAGGGCAAAGGGAATGTTATTTGATGGATAACTTTTTTAATCGAAGACGGAAAGATGTGGACTTTTGAAACTCAAAATATTTTTACACTACTTTATGTGAAATTCAAATATGTAGCCGTCTTAGCCGTAGCTTATTTCAGGATTTTATAGTATCTACATATTTAGGAACTTTGTGTGGCGAATTCACCTTATACATAATAAGGCTATCAGGACGCAAAATATTATACAAATTTTGTTTTTCTAATGGATTTTTGATATTTTTAATTTAGTGCATTTTTCTAATTTTCAAGATGTCATAAAATATGATTTATTATTATTATTTTGGTTTTATACAAACACCTAATTGTATTAATGTATTAATTTGAAGAATATTAGGCTTTAATTCACACAAATTGCTGAATAGCTGAATTGCCAAATTTTCGCTTAAAATAATACTTGCATGATTTGTTTTCAAACACCTAATTATCTATTTTTATGCGGAGTACATTAAAAATAAAATATCGAACGAATTTTGACATTTAAAGTTAAATTTTGTTTGTTTGTTAAAATTTAGATATGTAACTAAAAATACAATTTATTGATGTATTAATTTGAATAATGTTAGGCTTTATTTCACACAAATTGCTGAATAGCTGAATTGCCAAATTTTCGCTTAAAATAATACTTGCATGATTTGTTTTCAAAAAACGTTTAATATTTAAATTTATCGCAAAACGTGTCGATTTCAATAAGTTTCAGATTTTTATAGATAATTTCGAAACTAGATAAATCCATTTTTTCTTCGTCAAGTTATTTCCCATCAAATTCTGCAACTTTGCCCCTACGTTGACAGACCGTGTATCTTTTAAGGTAACTAAGATTTCATTGGTGATATATGGAAAACGGTAATTCCAGTTCTAAAGGGGGGATATCTGGATTTTTTGTTGATCTAAATATTTATTTAAAATATTTTGCTACAAATTATAATATTAGACATAACGTTAATGGGTTCAGCATTTATATACAATTTATCTTAAATTTAAGGAATATTCGTAATTTCTTTCTTTTAACAAAATCTGAGTACAATACTTTTATATCTAAAATATTTTTCAGTAATCATTAAAGAACAAAGTATATAAAACGTAAGATACTAGCTTTTGAGAATTTTCGCAACAAAATTTTTATTCTCCAATGACTATTTTGTTAGATATTAGTAAATAATTTCATGCGGGTTAATGTGTGTATATTTTGTTTACCTAGGGTAGTGTCAGTGCAGTCAGGTGTGTGCAGGTGAAGGTGAAAAGTAACAGATTAGAGATTAATCATCACAACAGAACTTAAAATATAAAACCACAAAGATTTATCATGCAAAAAGATCAGTCAATCTCAGATGCATAAGGTTCACTTGAAATGCAGAAAGTGTATTAGATTATGCCATATATTGTCTTGTAGTTTTAAACTTGCTCAATCTGACTTTTTTCTTTATTTTAGTTGATGAGAAATCATTGAATATTTCATTTATACAGTATACAAGGTGTTTCAGAAAGACCTCCCGTAAATACAGGGGGTAATAGTACGACAAAAAATAAGAATGAACTATATGTCTATCTCCTCTTGTTTTCGAGATACAGTGACAAAATAAAATTTTTTAAATATACTTTTTACGAACATTTATTATGAAACTTGATATTCCGGGATTTTTAAGGATGCTAAATACGCTGGTCCAATTATTTTTTGATATTTCATAGAGGGCGCTAGTTATGCTACATTCCTATTACATTTTAAGTTCTAATTTTTTTTAAGTTAGGTTTTTTACCATTCGGGCTCCAATTTCTAATGTACAATTTTATTTTCTAAAAATATTGTACTTTTGTTAGAACTTCCTAATGTGAACGGTTTTCGAGAAAAAGGCTTTTAATTAAACTCTTACAATATTAGGGTGTATAAAATAAGTGACTTTTCTCAAAGTAGGCTTATGTCAAAACTTATTGTTGGATCTCTCATAAACAACACATACATTCTTAGTAATAATTTAAGCTCTAATTAACTTTATATCAAAATTTTAGTGACTGTAATTAGTCATTACTAACTACATTCACTAAAATCACTAACATATTCATATAAAGTTAATTAGAGGTTAAAATATTACTTAAGAATGTATGCGTTGTTTATATGACGTCCATCAAAAAGTTTTGACATAAGCCTACTTTGAGAAAAGTCACTTATTTTATACACTGTAACATTGTAATAGCTGAATTAAAAGCCCTTTTTCTCGAAAACCGTCCACATTAGAAAGTTTTAACAAGAGTACATTATTTTTAGAAAATAAAATTTTACATTAGAAATTGGAGCCCAAATGGTAAATAAAAAATGTAATAGGAATGTAGCATAACTAGCGCCCTCTACGAAATTTCAAAAAATAATTAGACCAGCGTATTAGACATCCTTAAAAACCGGGGACACCAAATTTCATAACAATATTTCGCACCGTTTGGAAATTTTCGTAAAAATTCTATTTAAAAAATTTTATTTTAAATCTCTGTATCTCGAAAACAAAAGGAGATAGACAAATAGTTTTCCTTTATTTTTGAACAAGAGCAAAACAAACAAGACAAAAATGTAGCACAATTCTAAATTTTTGAATAATATAACTGTGTCAACTTGTCATGTAAATTGTAAACTTCTAACCTGTAGATTAAGTATTAGTCTTTGAAAGTTGGGCATTATGCGACTTGCTGAGCTAGCTGAACCTCCATGTCCTGGAGGATACAGGAATTCGGAGGAACTGGAAGGCAAATTAGAAATCCGATCCTTTGCAGCATTAAAAAAGACAAATCGCTATAGTTACTGTTATTAGCACTACGTAGCCACTACTAGTTGTTTTATACATGACTCGTACATTTTAAGATATTAACTAATATACGTGATGTTTTCTAGGAAATCTAAAGCACTGAAGAGGACAGATTCTGAAGTTATTTTAAGAAAGAACAATTTCTTATGAATATATAAAACGTTTCTGGTTTGAGATTACCATACTTGTGATAAGAGGCAATAGCGCGACACTTTTCGTTTTCCCTTAAGCAAATAGTTTTGAAGGTATGAAAGCTTAAAAAAAGTTAAAGATGAAAGAAAAATTTTGTTAAACATATTTATTATTCGGACATAGCTGAACAATATCTGGGATAGTTTCCATGTCGCCGGTTTAGGCTTCTTGTCGTTTCGAAAGACATATCGCTGTATTTTTCAGAAGAAACATTGAAACTGGAGATTAAGTCTCCTGCTTGGTACTTATATTTGCTGTGCAATATGCACTGGTCCACGGCTTTCTGGTGGATGGCTTGTAGTCATGTCATAGGTCTGTGTCGTTCTGGTTCTTTTTGTGGATAACCTCTCGTCTCGATTGAAATTGTCTCGATTCTTCTAGATTTCTATTGCATCTTTGTAGAGTTTCGGACAAACAGTCTTCTCTACCTCTCATACAAAAAATTCTGACATTAAGTATATCGGATGTTCTGTATCTTTCCTTTATTCCGCAACTGCTTATTTTTCTACGTCAAACCTCTAAATCTAAATCTGTCTAGAAAAGTCCTATTACGAACAACTGTAATAATTATATCTATTTCAACTTTCCATTGTTTATGTGTAATACAAATTCATAAACTTTTTATTTCCAATTATTTTTAAGACAATATCTTTCCAAAAAGTGTAAAACTAAAATGGTAAATAAACTTTTTGCTAATTTATAACGGTAGGTATATTCCGTAATACAGTCAGTGTCCATGAATATCGTAAATGTATATTAAAATTATTTGTAGTAATTTTTTATGTATATTTATTATGGTGGTCCAAAATAAAACGATTTTTTTTTTCATGTCTTGTGAAAATATGTTAGTTTATCATGTTTTAAGAGCCCCTTCATAAAATGAGCTCAAAAAAATCTTTTTAGAGGTCTCTCAAGATTTTTAAAAATTTCAAAAATCGTCAAAAATTGATTTCTTTTTTAATTTTTTTTCTCGTTATTTCATCATTTTCTAGGTTGAAAAAAATCTCGATTCTGAAAATTTCAAATTGATATTTTAATTTCTAAAGATCACTCATAATTATTTTAACTTTAAAAGTAGTGTAGGTACCTAAAATGTTTTCGAGCGACCTCTAAAAATAAATATCAACGAACTAATAATTTCTTTTATTGAATTTGATGAACAAAAGAATAGAAATAAATCACGAGACACTTACAAAATTCCTCGAGGCAAAATTTACTACCGCACTCTATCAAATATCTATAATTTTTTAATTTTTTAAAATTTAAGTGTCTTGTGATTTATTTATATTCTTTTGTTTATCAAATTCAATAAAAAAAATTATTAGGTCGTTGATATTTATTTTTAGAGGTCGCTCGAAAA